GCTGCTGTTCCAGATAACATTTTCTACCGGAACAAATAAACATAGCCTCTGGCAACTGGTATGTAGTCATTGATCTGGAAAATGTTTTCTTTGTCCAATAAGTAGAGAATACCAGAAATACTTGCCAAGGACCCTGATCATCTGTAATCGAACAGGACAAACACACTGCTTTATTCAAATACATAGAGTCTAGTGAATAGGAAGCAGCAGGGACACTATGATACATTAATAAAGTGTATGCATGCCAGAGATTAATCCCTTGAAAAAATAGAGATCTATAATCTCGATAATGTTCTGGTGGTCTGTATATCACACTATTCCTTCCAGAATTAAGCACACATTGCTCTATCCTGTATCTGCCCCTGGAAAAGGAAGTCACATTGGGAAGTCACATTGGGAAGCTTTTCTAGATTTTGGAACCAACATTTATCATATTTGGATATGATATTTTGATTCATTTACTGCAAATTCAAAAGGCACCAGATTTAAGTAGGGCCCAGACCAAGAGGGGCTTCCAGGTGCTGGTGGAGCCGATGTGGCTCCCAGTGCCTATAGCAGATCAGGAGAAACTGATAGGAGCTGTCAGCAGAAACTGATAGGAGAATCAGAATGGCAGCTCTGCTACAAAAAGGAACCAGTTCTTCTCCTTCTATGAAACATCTCTTGGACCATAACTCAGTCCCCCCCATACTCATGGGGCATCTTGGAGAGACAACTGCAAGTAGAATAAATCTGACCAGACTCAAGCAAGCTCTGAATGTAAGTAGTTAACTGTTAATGTGCTCATGTCACATTTGTACATCCGGGTGTCTACTTAAAAAACCAAACAAACATACAAAAAAACAAAACAAAACTAGGATACAAGCAGTCTTATTATGTGGTAAGAACCATTTTGGGTGCTTTAATCTTCATAATTATCCTGAAAGTAAATATACTTATGCTCTGTACTTTACAGGTGGGGAAACTGAGACATAGAGAGATTAAGAAATTTGATCAAAGTTCTTAACTACAGTTATCCATAGTGAGCACTCAATAAATCTGCACTGACTTCATGAATAAAACATCCTTCCTAGTGGCACCCAGCAACCTATCCCTCCTCCTAGTTCAAACCAGACAAGACATAGCCACAGCAGCAAGAACAGACATTTTGGGAGTTGGCTCATAAACTTGATGAAAGACAACTAACTCCAAGGGAAGTTTAAGGTATTTTAGTCAAAAGTAAACTGCCAGAATACACATACTGCCTGACAAGATGACTACTTGGAAGGAAGAGTAATCATCAACATGTTTATCACCTCAAAGCCATGCCACTTTAAGCTGCACGTACTCTAAATTATAAAGCCTGCCTAAGAGACAGTGATAAACCTAGATTTGAGAAACAAACTTTAGACTTTTCTAGTTGCAGCAGTATTTGTGATTATGATGTTATGTTATTGTTATAACAACCTTAATTTCATGGCAAAGTCCCTCTGCTAAGTAGGTAAAAATACCACAGGTTTTGAGGACTAGGGCATGGTCATTCTTTTGTCTACCACAGTCTGTTCCTCTGGCCTCCAAAGTTTCATGTCTATTCTGCACACAAATTGCAGTCACCTCATCCCAAAGGTCTCATTGTATTATAGCATCAACTCAAAGTCCCAAATCTCATTTGTATCTCCTAAACTCAACAGTCCCATTTAATAGTCATGGTACAAAAGAGATATTGGTGAGACTTTGGGTATGACCCACTCTGGGACATACTTCCTTTCCATTTGTGGGACTGAGAAACTGAAGAAACAAGTTATCTGCTCCTAAAACACAATGATGGGTCAGGTCTAGGATAACAGTAACAGACATTCTAGTTCAAAGGGAGGAAGAAGATGGAAGGAAAAAAGGAGCTACTATTCCCAATCAATTTAGAAATTCAGTCTGGCAAACACTGTTGTATTTTAGATTTGAGAATGATTCTATAGTTTGAGGCTTACCCTCTGGGCCCACAGCTCTACTCTGTGAGAAATCCTTTTTTCAAGGATGGTAGATGGTTTCTGTTTGTAGAATTTTGGGGAATCTGACAGACAGCTTTCGTTTTGTACTTTCTCTCTCAGTCTAAGCTGGCAGGGTTTCTGATACAAAGTTCTCAAGAACCTTGTAGAGCTCCCTTGTGTGTCACAAGGATTTACTGCATTAGACATGAGGCTCACTCACAGATATTTCCTAGAATCTAATCTCTGTATCTGGCCTCTGTTCAGATGGCTGAGGGAAAATGCTTGAACTTCCTAGACACTCCTTGGTTAGATTGGGGGAAGTCTGTGAGTCATTCCCTCAATCTCTTCAAAGAGCCTTTGTGTGACTGATCTGACCTGAACACATCCTCATTTTATTCCTCTAGAGCATGCTTTTCCTGACAGTGAATCTCTTATTATTAGGGTCTTTTATCATCTCAAGTTATGCTTTTTTGTTAACATCTCTTCCCTCAATCAATTTGTTTCCAATCATATTTTCTATTCTTTAATATTTGCTTGGAAATCTCAATTAAATGTTATTTCATTATTTATAAGTTGTGCTTTTTGCATAACTGCAGGACACAAGTCAGCCAAACTGTCTGCCACCCTGTAACAAAGATTATCTTCCCTACAGTTTTCAAAATCATGTTCCTTAATTCCTTCTGAGTCCTCACCAGCTGAAGGACGTCATCAACATGGTGGAAATGAGATACTGGGATCAATCTCTCCCCTAAAAACAACTTAAAAAGGGACTGATAATGAGATCTGAGTCCTTACCAGCAATGCTGTTAATGTCCATATTTCACTAAAAGTCTATTCATGATTTATATATCCTCCAAGACAGTTATGGTTTTGCCTTTAATGTTCCTCATTGGTAGACTTTTTGAGCCCTCAATGGTAGACTTCTAATGTCCATATTTCTATTAACAATGTGTTCAAGGTAACTGAGGTCTTTTTCTATTAGGCCTCTCAAAATTCTTCCAACCTCTACCCATTGCCAATTAGAAGCCCACTTCCACATTTGAGGTATTTGTTACAGCAGCAATCCACTTCTGCTAACAAAATGCGTATTCGTGTTCTATTGTTGCTGCAACAAATCACTACAAATTTATTAGCTTTATATAATACAAATTTATTATTTTATAGTTCTGTAGGTCAGAAGTCCAGCATGGGTCTCATCAGACTAAATCAAGGTCTTTGGCAGGCTGCATTACCTACTGAAGAGTCTAGGAGAGAATCTGTTTGCTGCTCATTTGGGCTGTTGGCAGAAGGTTGTTCCCTGTTTCTAGAGGCTGCTGCATTCCTCAGCTCATGGCCTTCTTCCTTCATCTTCAAAGCCAGCAATGGGAGATCAAGTCCTTCTCACATTTCTCTGACTCTTTGTCCATCATTGCATGTCCTTCTGACCAGAGAAAGGCTCTCTGCTTTTAAGGAGTCATGTGATTAGATTGGGTTTACCTGGATAAGCCCAAGCTCCATAACCTTAATCACATCTGCAAAATCCCCTTTGCCATATAAGGCAACATATTCACCAGTTCACAGGTGCCAGAGATTAGGGCAGTTACATCTTTGGGGGCCATTAATCTGCCTACTAAACTTGTGGCAAAGAACACAGTAAGTCATTTGCCCAGGTTCAAATCACTGCTAGGCCATTTACTACCTATGTGATCATGTGAAAATGACTTGGGCTGTCTGTGCCTCAGTTGAATTATATGTAAAATGAAGATAACTGTACCAACCTGTGGTGGTGATTTTGGAGACTATCAACTGCTCCACTGTATTTTTTTTAAGTAACAAAACCTGTCCCTTACCCTTCAAATTTATTTTTTTATTTATTTATTTTTTTTTTTTATAGAGGCATGCTTTATTTATTTGTTTGCTGGTTTGTTTGTTTGTTTTGTTTATACATGCACTGGGTACAGTCAGAAGCGCGGGAGGGTGAGAGAATTCACCAGAGCCAGAGTGGGGAGCAGAGCAGGCAGAAGGACCGAAGTACACTGCTGAGGGGAGCAGCGGGCGGCAGGAGGGGTCTGCGCGCCATGTGGGACCCTCCTCCGGTGGCCGGGGAGCAGCCAGGGATCGAACCGGCGCCGCAGAGGCCGCGGGCAGCTTCGCAACCCAGCGCTCAACCGCTGCGCCACCGGGGAGGCCCCTTACCCTTCAAATTTAAACTGGACATAAAGTTACCCCGCTGAAGACTACATATCCTGTCTGTCTTATGGGCGTGTGACCAGTTTAGACCAATGGGGTATGAACAGAAGTAATACACAATACATGTGTGTGTGTGTATATATATATAATTTCTGCATCATGTACAACTTAAAGAATTTGTCTCTTTCTTTTTCCCGTCCTATGGGCTGGAGTGTAAATGTGACTACAACCCATTGACAATCACATGGATGAGAACACCATCGCAGGAAATGGCAAAACAATGAGATAAAGAACCCTGGGTCTTTGAGTGACCTCATGGGACAGATCCACTCCGCTGGCCTGGCAAGTCTGGACTATTATATAGGAGAAATAGACTTCTGTGTTATTTAAGTCAATATATCTTAGTAAGTTTATATTTCTTAAGTGCTCAATCATATAGGGAATGCTGTATGGTAATGGCATGCATCATGACTGATTACATTATTCTGCATTCTGGAGGTTGTAATTCTACTTAATATCTCAGGCCACCAGTATCCTATAGGAAACATAAACATAAGCAACACTAACAAACCCTAATCTAATCAAAATGTTACCTGATTATTTATTTAAATGATAAAGAAAAGAGAAACCAACATTGAATTCATAAATGCAAGGCATTCAACATGTTGTATCTGATCACAGGAACAGCTTTATGATGCTGCTGAGATGAAAAAACAGAAAATGTACAGGCATTAGGTCACTTCCCTGAGATCACTCTAGCCTGGGGTGGCTTGAGATCTTGTCATTCATATGACTTCTCTGCCAAAAAGAAGGTCAATGGGGGTGTTGAGAATTAGTCAATAAGCCCCTCTTAATTATGTTACTCACATAGATGTTCGGTACTTGATGTCATCTTTTTCAGCTAGTTCCTCACAGGTGAGTCCATTGTGCTCTTTCCAGAGTCCCTGACACTTCCTACAGGTTTCCTGGGGATAAAGAAGAAGAAACACAAAGACAGCTCCTGGTGAGTAGATACCAGACAAGTTTCTGCTCAATAATAGGAAATGCAAACTGAGCACCACTTGGCCTGAATTCTTTAAGGATCTCTCTTTTTTTTTTTTCAGCAGAGATAGTTCTAAAAGCATGTCTCAACAAAAGAGGTAAGAACCAGTAGGAGAAAACAGTGGGAGACTCTTCTCTCCTTAGATCAAAAGAAATTATTGTACCCATCACCCAGTTTGTATTCTAAATGGCAGGCACCACTTGATAAAACCACAGAAGTCAGATTTATGACATCTTGGATATTTCAAAATAAAATACTGTGAGCTACTTGAGGGGAGGGGCTGTCTGGGTCTTATTAACACGTGCAATTCCTATGCCCAATGATTCCCTGTTGGCAGAGAACAGTTATTTCTGCTGAATGATTTAGATTAGGATTACTAGGAATCCTTAAGGGAGACATCCCCTTAGTCATTTCTCACTCATAAGCAAGGATGTCATCTTTCAGAGCTTAACCTCATTTGTAAAGATGTTAATTTTTTTTTTTAATTCTAGGAGTCTTCACAGTTTATGAGTTATTTTCTTATAAGCTAAAATTATCTTGACATCAATAACAAGAATTTTAGAAAACATAAATCCAATTTAAATACAGGGAAATCACAACTCTAGTAAGTACAATGAAAGAAGATAGTGTTGTCAGATTAAACTGGGGATCTGATAAAGACTTTGGGGACAGCGAAGGCTTGAAGAACTGGAGTCTGAGATCTGAAAGGTGAGTTAAGGATAGTGGAAGGAGAAGAGCATACAGAACAGAGGAACAGTAAGAAAAGACTCTGGCTGACAAAGCTGGGCAGACTTGGTTCCTGTAGCTTAACTACAGACCTGGCAAAAACAGGCCTGGCAAGGCCTGCAGAGGCAGTTCATGTCAGGCCTTTTAGGTGTGATCATCACCAGCGGAGGCCCTAAATAATTCTTTAAAAAAATTAAAAAAAGAATAAAAAGGAGGTGATGGGAGAATATAGTGAAAAATAAAATCAACTTGAAAGGATACCCAAGAAATTGGTAGTACTTATTTCCCTGAGAGGCTGGAAGGCAGCGGTGGGACTTCTTACTATAGGCCTTTTGTATCTTTTGAATCTTATATAAATGTACTATCTAATTAAAAATTAAATACAATTTTTTTTAAATAGAGGCATGTTTTTATTTATTTATTTGTTTTTGTTTATACATGCACTGGGCACAGTCAGAAGCGCAGGAGGGTGAGAGAATCCACCAGAGCCAGAGCGGGGAGCAGAGCAGGCAGAAGGACCGAAGTGCACTGCTGAGGGGAGCAGCGGGCGGCAGGAGAGGTCTGCGCGCCATGTGGGACCCTCCTCCGGTGGCTGGGGAGCAGCCGGGGATCGAACCGGCGCCGCAGAGGCCGCAGGCAGCTTCGCAACCCAGCGCTCAACCACTGCGCCACCGGGGAGGCCCTTAAATACAATTTAAAGAGAAGTGAAATGGGCCTCCCCTGGTGGTGCAGGCAGTTGAGCGTTGCGCTGTGAAGCTGTCCGAAGCCTCTGCAGCGCCGGTTCAATCCCAGCTGGCCGGCGAGGGTCCCACATGGCGCTGCAGACCTCTCCTGTTGCGCCGCTGCTCCCCTCAGCAGTGTATTTCGTCAGTCTGCCTGTTCTGTTCTCTGCTCTGTCTCTGGTGAATCCTCTCACCCTCCTGTGCATCTGGCCTGTACCCCGGTTCTTGTATAAATAAATAAATAAATCTTTAAAAAAATTTTAAAGAGAAGTGAAATGGAATGCTTAGGGAGGTAAGAGCCTGAATAACCTTTGGTGAATGTTGTTCTTAGGCATGGAATGGGTGGGGTGGGGGTAGAAAGGAGCCTGATCTGAGATTCTATGTTTAGATGACACTGTTTCTAAGGGATACAAAATTCTTTGGTTTTCAACCTTTATCCCATCAGTAAACAGAGGCTAAATCAGTAGTGACTTAATTATTACATACCAAAATGTAAAGTATCATAAAACTGTTTTTAACAGGCTTTACACCTAAATATTCCAGGAAACTGGAGGGAGGATAAACAACAGCTGGAGAATAGATGAGCTGGCATCTGGATTCTAACCTTCAAAACAATACCGACCAGCCACCCACAGATATAACAGCTTGAAAACAATACTTGCCATTTAGATAGTGCTTTACAGTATTCATTGTGATCCAGTTATTAATTCATGTGATTTTCTTTATAAGGAAGAGACCCATTTTCTAGGTGACGCAAAAGACAACCTGGCCAACCTGAGTCAGGGGCCACTATGAAGCCACCGCTCAGTTTTAAAGTCATGGTGGTATGCTGTAGGTCATGTGTGGGTTTTCAGTCATAGTACTTCTCATTGAAGGGTCCAGAGTATGAAGAGAATAAAACTGAAATGTCTTTTGGAGAGACTAGCTAGCTAGATAACAAAACCCACAATTAAAATAAGGCAAGCGAATAAGCAGGCTATGTAAATTTAACATTCTGAGCTCTATAATGTTTCTTTAAAACATACCCTCTCTTCTAAACACAGTGTATTTTACTAAATTGTAACTTTCTCCTCTCAAGGACAGCTAAGTTTTGTGGGTCCCAGACTCAACAAATGCTTCAACAATATTAGGTAAAAGAAATGTTTTGTTTTTTTTTTAAATAACTCTACTGATATTTTTATTTTATTTTTTAAAGATTTATTTATTTATTTATAAAAGCACTGGGTACAGTCAGAAGCATGGGAGGGTGAGAGAATTCACCAGAGCCACAGCGGGGAACAGAACGGGCAGACTGATGAAATACACTGCTGAGGGGAGCAGTGGGTGTGGCAGGAGAGGTCTGTCCCGCCATGTGGGACCCTCATTGGTGACCGGGGATTGAACCAGCACTGCAGAGGCTGCAGGCAGCTTCACAGCCCGGCACTCAACCGCTGTGCCACCAGGGGAGCCCTGAAATGTTCTTGAATGTTTCTAGCATGGAAACATTCTTCAAAGACAGGTTAATGAGAAAATAACAAGGACCATTTTGGAAGGCAGAATTTAGACAAGAAACTTCAAAACATGAAGGGCATGCATATCCTGCCTTTCAACACTCATCAGAGACCTTGCTTTCCATCATCTTAGTGGCATTTTCTGTTCAGGAGAAAACAGCTGAATTCACCGTAACCCCCAAAAACCACAAAGAAAACTTTTCTTTGCTCTAAATAAGGTACATACACACCTTGGCTAACTTGTTAAGGAGCAGTTATTAGCCCATGTCTTCGTGATGGAGCAATTTCTGGTTAAGTTTCACACTGCACTTTAGTACTCAAAAGTACATCAAGGTGTTCTGCCTATTCTTTAGGGTAATTTACAGTATAAAGCAAATACTCCAATGTCTGCCTTCATCCATTTTCTGCCACTTAATTAATGTCTGATGGGCAAGAGGAGAAAAAGCTCAACTTCAGAAAACTTTGCCAGGGAACTGACGTTTCTTAATATAAGTAGCTTCCTCAAAGACCAACACTGGCCTAGGTTATCACCTCATCTAAGGACAGCGGGGCTTCCTGCTTCTGGCAAAGAACCCAGAGAAGATGAGACCAAGGTTCCAAGTTACCAGACTGTCTATATCACTCCAGGCCTACTCTGGCTCCCTGCATCTTACCTGGCTGACTTCCAGCCTTGTCTCAGAAGCAGAATAAGGCAAAAACTACTCATTTTTGAGTGATTTCTCCAATGAGACTTCTAAACTGACTTTCCAGGGAAAAGAAGTTGCTATTTTTTAGGTAGGAGGTCAGAAGCTATGGCCAATCTAATTCTAATCTCTCTGAAACTCCAGTTTTCTACTTTGACATCACAGGTACTCAAAAAATAGGGGCGGGGCAGGGGGGGCGCTGTAAATCCTCTTAAAGTAAAAGTTAGGCTAGGCACCCAACCCATCACAAATGCTTAGTGGACTCAAGGAGTCATAGGCCATGGACTTTCAGGCCATGTGTCTCCAGCTGTCAGAGTCACAGATTTTCCCTGCTTTAAGGCCCAAATGACCTATGGACACCAGCCAAGACCAGAAGAGACTGGTTTAAGACAGGAAAACAGACAATGAGACAAATGCTGGGATTGTTGAGAAAAAATAAACTTGGCAAAATCAAAGCTCAGGCAGAACCAGTAGGTTTTCCTTCCTTTCCCTAATGGAAATGGAGAACTTCTATTTTCTTAGGGCAAGAATGCAGTGTCTCCAGAGGAAGTGAGATATATGAGGAAATCTAGTGAAGCACAGTGGAGTTCACACATTCACAGAGGTATACACACGCAGCGCCCAAGAGAGAGCAAAAGAGGTGGGGCGGGGTAAGTCAAACAGGGCTTTTTGAGGAGATGACATCCTTCATGGCAATGAATAAAATCAGGAGTAAGGAGAACACCAGGCAACTCCTAAGGTATTCCTCCCAAGTGGATTGACATCCCTTTGTGAAATGCCTTTCCCAACTATGACAGGCATAAAACCAAGTACCTAAAACAGAAGCAGATCCTCAGTCAAACATTTCAACAATTAAACATGTTTAATATGTTAATATTTTAATAAGCACAATAGGTTTAGTACACAAAACTATTTTAAGGTATGATTTATTTCATGCCACCCTTTAAATTTTTTTATATTTATCTATGTTTGGAATGTATGCTACAACAGTAGTACATTCACATTATAAACAAACACCACAAACACCAGGGGGCATTCTACTCTCCACTACTTTTCAGACACTGTGGCAATCACAAAGCTGTGCATCTACTGCTCGAGATATTGGAGGGCACAATAGGAGCAGCAGTCTGTCCAGGCTTGTATTTCAGAATGCTTTGGTGGAAACATGAATTTAGATCAAGTGTTGCAGAATGAACAGAACTGAGTGAAGGTGAAGGACAGAGGTTCTCACTTATGTGAGAACACAGGTTTAATTTTAAACTAACTTATTTATTCATTTTTCCAATATCCTCTGAATTTTTA